GGTGGGCCGGGGGGCCGAGGCTTCAGGCCGCGGCCCCTCCTGCGCGCATCCCACGCCCGCGCCGCCTCCGGCGAGCCCCCCCGGCCGGGCGCCTTACGAGCAGCGGGTCGCGCCTCACGGTCTGGGCCTGATCCAGCGCTGGGCGCTCATGGTGAAAGTTTGGAGTTCGGGTTTAAATGAAACTTTTCTCCTTTCCTCTCTAACCCGGATATGGGTAAACACACGGCCGCCGGAGCCTATCGGGCCCAGCATGGCACGCGAGGGAGCCGCGCGAGCCCGAGCAACTATTATCCACTTCTGATTACTCCGCGCACTCGCAAAACGCGGACTGGACTCGGCCCGCGCCGCCGCCGCCCGGGCCGCGGGCGCACCTCGCCTGCCGGGCGCCGGGCCGTAGGGCTGGCCGGCGGGGCCAGAACGGCCGCGCTCCCCTGTCCTTGCTCTCCTTGCCCAACCGGCCTTTCGCCTGTTTGTTTTCCAGTCGAAAAGGCACGATCCAAAGGTGGAAAACGAGTCTGACTAGCAGACAAAAGAGAGAAAACGACTTGGGGACAAAGTTGTTTATTGGCCTCAAAGGTTACAAGGAAAAGGAAAATATTTAAGCAATCTGTGCAAAAGCAGCGTCTCTCCCAGGGGTTATGTAATTTCTTAGATTGTTAGATTCTTTGCCCTGCTGCTGGCCTTCAACGGAATCCCCAAACTTCAAGCTGCAAGATTAGGAGAGGTTTCTGGTAAATTCCAGGAGCACTGTGCCCTGTACACAGCAGGTACTCAATAAATGCTTATGATGTACCTGCCCCAAAAGTAATTGTTTATATAACTAGTTAATTGTTAAAGGCACCTGACATTTGCATATAGTCGTATCAATGAAAACTCTTAACCAACGGAGAGGTGCACGTGTTGGTCCTCTTTAAAGGGAAAATCCTCAACATCTTCGAATAGTGTGTTCCACTCCAAACAACTTTCAGATGGAAATTTAACTATTAGTGCCCTAATAGGAACAGCAAAGGTTTAACTCCTATCTTCTTAAATCTGTGTAGCAACTTTCGTCCTCATATTTCAGAGGTTACCATGTACTAACTTAATATGAGCCCATTCTTAAATGATGGGAAACAACATGAAAATAGATATTGCTTAATAAATATAAGATCAATAATATAAAATGACCAACACACATCCTAAAGTAGACATCTTTTCATACTTTGTTCTGTTAAAAGAGTATTACCTATTACTTTGTAATGATTTCAATGTTATTGCTATTTTTTCACTAAAATCTTTTAAATCTTTCTCTAACTGGACTTTTTAACCCAAGCAGTGGTTCAGTTTTACCAGCGTGTCCTCTGTTTTCATAGAAAGCACTTGAAACCAGAGCTTACAAGAGGTCAAGCTGGCCAAAATCATCTCAATGATTCTGGTAGAATGTAGTTTTGAAAAATCATTTCATTCTCCAACTTTCCTAAAGTTTATTTCAACTGCAGTAGTAGTTGTTTTTGTTACATGACTAACAGAAAACTATAAGCTGAAGACAAAGCTGGGGGGATCTGGGAGGGGGGCAGATCAGGTGCACACCAAAGGTCACTATTGAGTATGAAAACAACAAATTGGAAATCTGCAAACAATTGAAAAACTGGGTTAACTTGTCAGGTGTAAGAGAGAATCACAGAACTCCTAGATGAATTCATGCCAAATCATTCATCAATTTTGCCAAGAGAATACTACATCTTTGTTAGTGTACCTTTTTGACATTTTTCTCCTCGATTTTCTCCTTTGATATATTCAAATACATACTAATTATACACATTACATCACATAAGTCAATTTTTTTAAAGTTTTTCATATGCAAATGTAACTACATGTCTGTTGTGTGTCCGTGTGTATATTCATATATTCCAAAATCAGTTACATATTTATGCATATAGACATTTATCATCAAACTGAATGTACACATCTAATCATAAGATTGCATTTTTTCCAACGGATAAAATATGTTAGAGTCAATTCAGACAAGAATTGCCATATTTCGTGGCTTGTTTTCACTACTAATCTTAAAAGGGAAAATGAGTCACCAAGTTCAGCTGTGACCCTTTTCATGAAAATGTTTTCTTCATATAGGAAAAATAATTTTAATTTCAAGTAGGTGTCTCTTTTAACTCCATTTGCTCCAGCAAGTCAACTAGAAGACTGGAACCAAGAGGTTCTGAAATAGAGGCCCAGAGCACAATGAAATCCGTCTGCTATAAAAGGCCACATTTGCCAGTTTTTCCTTCCCAATGGCAGATGCCACGCCCTAAAGCAGACAGAAGGCACTGCAGTCTGTAAAAGAAACACAGCACAAAGCCAGCAGGACTGGGTTTTGTCTTTGAAACCACAAAAAAGGTTCCAATACCTTTTTTTTTTAGCATCTTTGCTAAAGAGAAGTAGTGGTCTCCTATTTTATTCAACTTAAGCTTTTCAAATGCCTTTCCAGGAAAACAAAATACCAGCCTCTTACAGTTTCATTAAAAAAACAAACAAACAAAAACAGGGCTTAACAAACAAAACAGCAGTTGTCAGGGGTCTGGTCTCCAGTGATGAAATAGTTTCAAATTTCACAAAAGCACAATTTCAACGAGAGAGGTTCCTTTATATTGTGTTACTTGCTTCAATTATTCTATGTGGCAATTCTACATTATTGTTTCATGTGGGTGAGATAAGGTACTAGCAATCACTGAATTCATTTTTCCCTGTGAATTTTGTATTTTTACACCTCTTGCCTACATTTCAAACCATAAATGACAACTTTAATAAGTTGTTCTAACCACAAAGAACCGCGAAGGTGTAAACCCAGAAGCTGCCGAGTGGCCAAGCCAGAGGGGACCTCCCAACCACAGGGTTCGCCCCACGCCTTCATGTTTAGCTTGAGGATTATCCATTATTTGGCTAAACAATCCTTTTGAGTGACAAAAAGGTTTTTTTTATTATTATTATCTGGAAATATTAATATTCAAATACTGCTCCTTGTGAATAAGTTTGTGGGGGTGGGGAGGGCCCCTTGGCTACTTGAAGAGGACTGAGCCAGATGGTAGTTTTTAAATTCCACGGTTCCGTTCTTTTCACTCCTCCTAGCCCATCCTACTCTGTTTGCTTTCAGATTAGCCCCCTTTTGCTGTTCTACTTCTTTATTTGATGACAGAAAGTATCACGACTCACTACCCATCATATTTCTCAGTATTCTTTGAGTAATTTGGAAGCAATTTACAATAAAGCTCTGTCAAGGTTTTACAAATAAGAACTATTAAAGAATAAGGCTTTGGATACTTGCTTTCCTTTTAGATTTATGAGAAATGCGATGAATGGAGCTAATGGGATTTCCCTACTGATCCTGGTCAGGGACTTTCAAAAGCACTAAACAATTGTCCTTTTCACTTCTCCGATTTAGACATTAGCGGTGAATAACACTGAGTAATTGCAAGATATGGGATAGAGCATTTGATATGGAACAACGACGCAAATTAACAGCGGCACATAAATTCAGGGCACAAAGTAATTGGGGTGGCATTTGAGAAAAGTAAAAGTCTAGTCAAAAAATAAGTTGAACAAATTTGGGGACTATGATGAAGAGTAGCAC